AAAAAAAAAAAAAAAATTCCTTATACAGAAAATAGGATTCATCACTCAAATTGGACCTTTCTTCTTATTCTAATGCTTTGCATAAAGTCCTTGCTACATATTGTTATATCTTCCACATGAACCCGGACTTGAACCTGATGAGCTCAAAGCCCTGACAGCCAAGAAGTGGGTGGAAAGTGTGGGGGAAGTGGGGTCCAATGGCTTCCAGTCATTTCCTAGTGTCCGTGACAGTTAGACAGGCCCAGGGCCCTGTCTCTTAGCAGACTAATATTGGGTTCCTTTTAGGCTGGGGTTCAGATCGCTGAAGACAATTGAGACAGTGGAGTGTTTCTGGGGTCTCTTTCTGTTTCCCCAGGGCAAGACTTCTTCCTGTAGCTTCCTCTCATCATGTAAAAGTCACAACCTCAAAGAGGTCTTCAAAAGAGGAATTGACACATGTGTAATCTGGTGCTAACTGATTTCTCCTAAAGCCTGTGCTTTAAGTGCCCCTAGTAGTACAGGGACACTTCTCTTAACATGAGGATCTCCAAGATCATCCCCTTCTCTAGAGTTGGCTCTATCCACCTCAGTGTCCGGTTCTTTATGTCTTAAAAGGCATGAGATTCCCACATATTCAGTTGAATTGAAACACTTTGCTTTTAGAGATGGGAGTCTCTTCTATATGTTGCCCAGGCTGGTCTTGAACTCCTGGCCTCAAGCAATCTTCTTACCTTGGCCTCCCAAAGTGCTGGGATTATGGTCATAAACTACCATGCCTGGCCAACAGAAGCACTCTTTTTATTTTTATTTATTTATTTATTTATTGAGACAGAGCCTCAAGCTGTCGCCCTGGACAGAGTGCTGTGGCATCACAGCTCACAGCAACCTCCAACTCCTGGGCTCAAGCAAGTTTCCTGCCTCAGCCTCCCAAGTAGCTGGGACCAAAGGCGCCCGCCACAGCGCCCGGCTATTTTTTGGATTGCAGCTGTCATTGTTGTTTGGTGGGCCTGGGCTGGATTCGAACCTGCCACCTTAGGTGTATGTAGCTGGCGCCTTAGCCACTTGAGCCACAGGCACCAAGCCCAGAAACACTCTTAACAGCAAATTTTACCTAGGAGGAATGTCTACATATTGATTAGAAAAGTTTCTGAGTAAAGCAATAACAATAGTAAGAGAACAGAAAGTAAATCTAGAAAAAGTAAAATTGTTTGTTTATTCTGAAAGAGGCAGCTAAAGTTATTTAACAAATGTCTACAAAGTCTAAAAACAGGTCCTCATGCTTTTGTCCATTGTAAGATCATCTAGAAGATGGTCACAGAAATGATAACGAAACCGTAAATGGCTTGAGAACATAGAAAAATATATCCCACTGGAAAAGAAGAGATAGGGGGATTTTTTTTTTTTTTTTTGAGATAGGGTTTCTGTCTGTCACCTGGGCTAGAGGGCAGTGGCCTCATCATAGCTCACTGCAACTTCAGACTCCTGAACTCAAGCAATCCTCCTGCCTCAGCCTCCTGAATTACTGGGACTACAGGTATGTGCTACCATACCTGGCTCATTTTTCTATTTTTTGTACAGATAGGGGCTTGCTCTTTCTCAGGCTGGCCTCAAGCTCCTGACCCCAAGCTATCCTCCCACCTTAGCTTAAAGTGCTAAACTTTCTATTTTTTGTAGAGACAGAGTATCACTCCTGCTCAGGCTAATCTTGAATTCCTAAACTGAAGCAATCTTCCTGCCTCATTCGCCCAAAGCACTGGGATTATAGGTGTGAGCCACTACACCCAACCTGGGGAAGAGATGTTGACTGTGAAAGTAGAATTTGGAACACAGGTGCTTCCTTAGCCTTTGAGAAGTGTCCCACCCTTTCTTTTAGACTTTTGGGGAAGATAAATGTGACACAATAGACATGAGGGACCCTGAGGTGCAGATTTAGCAGGAATTTTAGTAATGGCTGTCTCTTGATATGTCTCAAAAGGAAATGTTCTTGACATCTGGCCTCAGCCTTCTGAACCTGCTTTCAGAATTATTTTCTGAGTGCACGTGAAAGCTTCCCTGGAGCAGCTGCTACTCCATCCCATCCTTTATCACCCAGGTCATAAAATGAGCCCTTGTCGAAGTGATGGCCAGGGTTGGCAGGTGGCTTCCAGGCGTGGTCTTCAGTGACTTTGCACCCCAAAACTGTCCCTGCCACAGGAGGTTCACAGAGGTCAACTTTAAACGGTGGCAGTGAGGAGCAACTGAGAACTTTGAGCTAGGAAAGAATTTGAAACAGCCTGTGAAGCACATCTGGGAGTTCATGTGTACTGAAAAAGTGTCACTGACTTTCAAGAGTCAAAAGAATAATGAAAGACGGGTGCCCATGACAGGCATCATGCAAATTCTTCACGGCCAATTCACTTTCTAACTCTCTTCTGCTCCCAGCAGTTGAACTGTGTGTGTGAAAAGCACGTGCC